TTTCTCCCTCATCTTTCTACTCTTATTCTCGTTCTTACTGTTCTTCACGAGCTAAAGGCCTGCAAACTAACTTGCAATACAACAACCCTTGATTTGATTACACGAATTTTAGGTTTTTGAGGGGTTACTTACACATTTTTTAAGCTTAGTAGTTCAATTGTATTTTTTGTGTTTAATTTAATGACTAATTTAATATTTTTTTCTTTTTAATACTGATTATTTTAAGTATATGTGGCCGCAATTCAATTTAAGTAAAGAATTAAGACTAAACTAAGCATTATGCAAAACAACCCTAAATCATTTTGGCACAAACAGTTACATTTAAAGTTCGCACTACGCTTACGATTAAGATATTTTATTTTATGATTTATTTTTTTTTGGGCAAACCATCAACTGTTGGTTATAGTTCAAATATTTTAACAGACTTATTTGATGAAGAGGATGTGGATAGGATACTGAGGATACCTGTCAGTCCGAGATATGACGACTCATGGTATTGGCCTAATGACCCTAATGGGGTATATATGGTTAAGAATGACTACAGGAACATTATGGGTGTTTATAACCACTCACCAGGGGATTTTGAGAAATGGACTAAAATGTGGGGAATGAATATACCCCCAAAATGGAAGACTTTTTTTTTTATGGAGAGCAATTTGTGATGTTCTTCCAACAACTAATAATTTGATTATAAAGAGGGTGGAAGTGGATCCCACATGCCAAATGTGTGGGGTGGCACATGAGAATGTGATGCATACATTCATCACTTGTGATTACTCTAAACATGTTTGGAATATTTCAGGATTGCCTATAACAAATATTGTTGTCAACTCATTCCCCGAGTGGCTAACGATTGTGCTTACAATGTTAATAGAGGATCAAAGTGGAGCTGCTTTATCGCTTATGGAGATGCAGACAGTCAGCCGTATGGGACGGCGCACTGCCGCACCCTTCGGCAGCTTGGAGGCAGGCCACGGCAGCGCTACACTCCTTCCGGCAGGTTGTACGCCGCTGCTCCTCTACACCCACGGCGGCCACGGCAGAAAACGACGGAGGCACCATGCCACGGTGCTACATGGATGCGGGATACCGGGAGGACACGGGAGAGGCTACGTACGGCATTGTGTTGTTGTCTCCAGAAGGATCTTTTTTTGCGGCAAAAAATGGAAGACTTCCGAATTGTTTGTCGTCGTTTATGGCGGAGACTTTGGCATGTAAGGAAGCTCTATCCTGGCTATTGGAGAAGAATATAACAACGGTCACCCTTCAAATAGACTGTTTACAGCTGAGGAATGCTATACGAAAGAATTCAACTACAATAATGTCCTATGTTGGAGTCGTAATAGACCAATGTAGGAATTTAATTTCGTCTTTTAATTACGTCTTTTTAAATCATATTTCTAGGCAGATTAATTCGCATGCGCATACGCTAGCTTCGTTAGCTTTTATTCCGGATCAAGCTATGTATTAGGATTATGTCCCCCCTGACTGCATTGCAACTTTGATTCATTAATACAATCATTCATTGATTGGTTTTCAAAAAAAGTGTAAGCTCTTCTTTTAAAAAAAATAATAATAATAAACTGAAATATTTTAGAAATTAAAGCTTAAATAAAAATTTTAAAATTTTAAAATACGAAATTTAATATGCTTGTTAAATTTATATTTTAGTTTTATTTAAAATTAAAATTCAAAGAATTAGTAGTATTTAAAAGTAAAAATAAAATCTCGATTAACCACAAGTTCATGTATTGTCTAAACTATATAATAACTGTTCATGTTACAATTCTTGTCAATAATGAACCTTTACAGGGCGTTTGGTTGGAGAGATTTTAAATTCCCTTCCCACTTAATTCCCACCTAATTCTAAATGCCATTAAATTTCGTAGTTTGGTTGAAGGGAATTGCAATTCCATGGAATTGCAATTTCCCCATTTTCATGGAATTAAAATCCCATGCCCCCTGAGATTTTAATTCCTCGGAAAAAAAGATAGTGATGAGTCAAAATTACCCCTTCCTTTTTTTTTTTTTTTAACATAAAATTAATGTCTAACAACAATAATAGACATTTTTGACTTTATACTACTTATTCTCTTTTAATTCCCATGTATACCAAACATTGAAATTGAAATTCCCAGTAATTCTATTCTTGTCAACCAAACACTGGAATTTAAATTCTCACTTTATTCCCAGTAATTCAACTCTCATGGAATTACAATTCATTTCCCACATAATTCCACCCTTCCAACCAAACGCCCAATCGTTATGCCTTGGACCCGTGTCCAGCATGCTTGCTGGACACGGGTAGCAGTGCCTACCTCTTTTTTTTTTTAATTTCAGATCACTTTGTTATAGAAGTATATGTTCATAATTTTATTACTATATGTTAATAACTATACATTCATAACTCTATAACTGTACATTCATAACTCTATAACTGTACATTCATAACGTCATAACTGTACATTCATAACTCCATAATTGTACATTCATAATTTTCGAAGCTCTATGTTCACAATTTTAGAGCTCTATGTTCATAATTTTATCACTATATGTTCATAATTGTAAGTTCATAATGTTAGAGCTCTCTGTTCATAATTCGATCAATAACTGTACATTCATAATTCCATAACTGTAGATTCATAATCTCATAACTGTAGATTCATAACTCCATACCTGTAGATTCATAACTCTATAACTGTACATTCATAATCTTCGAAGCTCTATATTCACAATTTTAAAGCTCCATGGTCATAATTTTATCACTATATATGTTCATAATTGTAAGTTCATAATGTTAGAGCTCTGTGTTCATAATTTCATAATTGCATAACTGTACATTCATAACGGCATAACTGTACATTCATAATCAAAAAAAAAAAATAACGCCGTTAACGGCAAAACGCGCGCGATTTTTTTTTTTTAACTAAATGACGCGTTTTTTTTAAAAAACGATGTCGTTTTGGGCCCGTGTCCACAATTCATTGTGGACACGGGTCCAGGGCATAATTTGCCCCAAACGCCCTGTTAATTGCCAATTCTAAAACTAAATCGAACCAAATTGCGGCCACCTTTAGTCGAAGAGATCAGAAGGACTTTTATGTCTCTTAAATAATTAAAGAAAAAGGATGTTTTATGCATATAGCAACTTTTTTTTTTAAGGTCAACCAATGGGTTGTATTCCTGTAATTGAATCAGGTGGGACATCGTCCCAGCACATAGCTGTATCGTAATTAAAAGCTGTAGAAACTAGACTATGAGCTAAATACTTTGGCGATTTAGGAATATATAAAATCAATTAACATGATGTAAAGGAAGACATGTGTGCTCTACACCCATCAATAGCGTAACCAACGTAAGATCGGAGCGGACCACTTGTTGCGGTTAAATACCTCTGTAAAGTTGACAATCTGTAAAAAGATGAACGGTTAACTCACCGCGCATATATAGCCACGAGAGTGCTTCCTTACACGCATATACATCAGTCATGAGTGGAAAAAACAATGCGGTAAGGATGTACTGCAAGTCGAGATAAAGCTTCCATCCGCATTTGTGAGTAAAGCCCCAACCGAAGCCGTATTGTCCACATGATGGTAAGCCGCATCGATATAACATTTTCTGGGCTGTGCAACCAATGGTGGTTCGTTGTGCGTAGGAGTCGTAGCTGTAGGCAGTGGCGGTGGCATGGCCTCGCGTGAATGTGCAGCTCGGGCGGACTGCTGCGGCTGGACTTTAACATGCGAGCATGGCATATAGCAACTTCATTAGATGCTTTTTTTTTTTCTTTTTTTTTTTTAAGGTGGTTTGTTGCTTGGTTATTGAAAGAGAGAGACTAAGTTGAACAGAAGAGATGAGAGATAAGAAAATTAATTTGAAGGAGTGGTTGTCATAAAAAAAATATTTATAGGAGTGAACATTTTTTGTGCACCCATATATATATATATATATATATATATATATATATATATATAGTTGAGTTCAGGTGCGGCGATTCCTTCTCGAGCGGTCGTGTGAGCAAAATATACACCATCAACGTTAGGGAATGAACTACAAAAACACACACCACTATTGGAAATTATGAAATTTCTGACCACTTGAAAGTGATCTTAAATCAAGTTCATACCAAAAAGTGGTCGGAAATAGCAACAAAGGTTTTTTCGAATACCAAAAATGGCCGGAACAAGACTTTCGACTTGATTTAAGATCACTTTCAGGTGGTCGGAAATTTCATAATTTCCAGTAGTGCACAAACTAGGTACACATCACCAAAAACACACCATTAGGTATGACTAAAAGCATCAAACAATGTTCGGAAATACACCATTAGTGGTAGGGAGGTATATGGTATATTTTTTTTTTGGGTGTGTTGTGTATTTTTTGGTGTATTTTTGCATTTCATTGTTGTGTGTTTCTCTTACACTATTAGTGCATATTGTTAACACTATTGAGGTATTCTGAAAACCGCCGCACGGGAGGGTGTTGCCGCATTTGAATTTTTTCATATATATATGTGTGTGTGTGTGTGTGTGTTGCGTTGGCGCACACCAACTCTGGCCTACTCATCAAAACAAAAATATACAAGATCAGAGTTCTCTTATTTGTATAATACCTATAGCACATGTATTTATTCACAACAATATTGATATATTTGTCACCAAAATAAAAGTTTTTTTTTTCATCAATAACTCATTATTAATTACTCCGTATTAAATCATCTTAGGAGGGAAACCAGACCAACTTGGTTGGATTTACACGCCATATGGTTAATTATTATCCACACATTCATAACAATTGTCCAGTTGTAAATCTCAAATCAGAGAGAAATACGCATACACGGATGTATTTCAACGCTACTACTTTCCTACTGCATCACAATATACCAACTCCCCATTTGGCCATATATATCCAATATCCCATAAGAAATTAAAAATATATGAATCAGGAATCCGATAGATATCCTCAATTGGAACAAGAAAGCTAAGGTTATTGTTTTGGATCCAATGGCTAGTTTACATATTTATCGTCGAAGCAAAACCACATCGGCTGCCAGAAAGGATATGATAAGTCAGCTTCCAGACGATGTAAAGGAAAAGATTTTAGAGTGTTTGCCCACTCCAGACGCTGCTAGAACTGCTCTACTCTCGACTGACTGGAAAGATGTTTGGTTGCGCCATGGACGACTTGATTTCAATACCCATTTCTTCAAATGTCTTAGAAAATGCGAAGGTGATAAACGCGTGGCGCTCGTGAGCACCATAAATGACATTCTCTTGCACCGTGCTGGTCAGGTTAAGAAATTTACTTTACATATTTCTTGCCGGAAGATCCTAAGCCGCAGCAGTCTGACTTAGATCGTTGGTGCCGTTATCTATCAAGAAATGGCGTTGAGGAGCTTAATATCAGTATAAGTGGAAAAAAGTATAGGCTGCCGTCTTGTATAGTCTCGTGCCGAACAATTAAGCAATTGAAACTGGGCGGTTTTGATTTTGATTGCCCGATAAATGCTGGTTGTGTATTTCCTAGTGTTACATCATTAGTTTTCCATGATGTTGATTTTAAGAGTAGAATTAATGGGGGAGTTATCTCTAATCTTGGGAAGCTTGCTTTCCGTTGTTGTGTTGGGATCAATTATTTTAAGATCATTGCTCCAAAACTTAAAAGCTTGGATTTGGCACGTTGTTTTTGTGCGGTTGAACGGAGTTGGTTGTCGCCTCATCTGAGACCAATTAAGACTCTTTGCATAAATGGTCATTTATTATGGGTGAGAATGAATCTTTACTTTCTGCATCTTAATCCAAGTACACAAAGATATCTACTTTTTATTTTACCCTCCATCTAACCTAATTCGCTGTTTGGCCGCTAGGGAATTTTGTTTCTTTTTTCTTTACTACTGGAAATTATGAAATTTTCGATCAACGGAAAGTGATCTTAAATCAAGTTGAAAGTTCGTTCCCACCACTTTTGATATCCGGAAAAACCCTCACTTTTTGTTACTTTAGGTGGTCGGAAATTCCATATGGCTAGAGTTCTTCTCATGGCTAATTTTTGTTTCCTTTACTGTCTCAAAGATTAATGATGTTGCAGTAGCCACACAGGCGTTCCCAACAGCAAGGAATCTGCAAGTAATCACGATCTATGATTTGAACTTTGGTCGGGGGAAGCAGATCACTAGTGCTTTGGAATTGCTTCAGAGATCCCCCAACCTATGCGAACTGGAGATTATTATAGAAACAGACACGCTGGTAAGACATGAACCCTACTGAAATCGTGTTTGTGTTTTTTTTTTCCCTCAAATTCCCTCATGGTTGTATGTGTTTTTTCATTCTTGTTGAGTTATAGCCGAGTGAGTGGGATGGCACTGCTTTGAGACTTGTGAGGGACGGTTGCTTTATCAATCAAGATTTGAAGATGCTTAAGACAATAAAGATTGAGTCCTTTAGTGGATCCATATTAGAAATGCATTTTGTGAAAGCATTGCTCTCAAAATCCCCTGCACTAGAGAAAATTGTTATCCAGGAATCAGCTAATATTGATGCTACTATGGCATTCAAAATTCCAAGAGAGTTGTTGAGCTTTCCTCGTATATCTCCGAAGGCACAACTTGTATTCATGGAGTGCAAGTCTAAGTATAGCCTGATTGCACCTCCATGGACCATAAAAATGTGATCAATAATGGTTGTGCTAGAAAGCCTAGAAGCTAAGTGACAATTTTTTGTAGGATGGAATTTTGTTTCCTAGGCTGGTCAATAAGTATTACTCCTTACCCCTTATGAGTCTTTATCTCTGACATCTATGAACTGCCTTAGTTTTAACTTTTAAGTATGAACATTTAGTTCAAATGTATTGAATTAAGTTATGGACTATAATGCAACTTGTGACTTTGTGCGATACTTTGCAGTTCTAATACTATACTATCTATAAAAGAATGTATGTTGAATAGATTGTGATATGATTTGTGTATAAACCAAATTCTCAAAAAGTGAATAAATAATTTGTTTTGACAAAAAACTTTGAAATTAGTCGCTGGCTGAATAACCATAAAGTTTTAAGTTTAACTCTCCAAACGGTTGACATTCTTACTACCTTCTAGATAGGTCCTAACTCTCCAAACGGTTGGCTGAATAACCATAAAGTTTTAAGTTTAACTCTCCAAACGGTTGACATTCTTACTACCTTCTAGATAGGTCCTAACTCTCCAAACGGTTGACATTCTTACTACCTTCTAGATAGGTCCTTTGTGCGCTACACTAACAAGACAAGACGAGATGAAAAGTTTTACTCTTTCGTAATAGCTGTCTATATATCTTGAGAAGCTTGTTTTGGATGATTGTGAATGGATTAAAGATTGTTTGCTATTATATTGGTTATAGATATGGGGTTGAATGAAGATGGTTTAGGCTTCGTTTGGAAGCAATTAATTAAGACTCTTTGCTTTTGTGTCTTTTTAGTTTGTTGTCGCTTGAGAATCACTTCTTCTTTCTCATTCTCTTCATGCAAATGAACAATAGTTACTTTTCTTTTCAATGCTCTCACTACTATAGAATGTCGAGAAAGAAACCATGAATGAAGCTAATAGTTCCCGCGCGTCACCCACTATCCCTAATAAACAAAATGGCAAGTATCAAAGTCACAGGACAATCAAATTACTATGTTCACATATTACTTAGCCAAGATTTCTCTTAAATATGCCTCCAAAGTTTCACTGCCCACCAATACAACTTTAATAGAATAGAATAGAATAGCAGTACAAATGGTAGTACCAGAATTCTCTCCTATTTTGATATATCACCTATTGCATATAGTTGTAGTACAATTGTACAAATTGAGTGTGGCCACATGCAATGCAAAGCAGATTGTATTTTAACACTATTATAATTAAAATTTAATAACAGCTTTGTAGTTAAGGGCAGCAGCATACGTACTTCTCTGTACCAAAATATAAACAAAGAGGCCAGGCTTCAAAATCAAATGTACTGTACTACTTTCTGCTTAAAGTTAGCATTATATTATATATCCATACTATATACTTATTATCGATTTGATTCCATTATACTAGTTTGGTATGTTCCTGGTTTTTTAAGTCTGTTTACCCTACTATTGCGCATTGTATCATGCATCTGGACAGGGCCAAAGAAGTGTGGGAAGATCTAAAGAGGAGATTCTCTCTATATATACAGATGAAGAGATGATAGAAGCAACTAAGTGTACTTGAATTGTATGATTGTAATGTGTATTGCCTCCATCTATCAAAAACATATATCTCTTAATTTGATTAACTCGTTCTAAACTCCGTGGCACAGGCGTTGCACGGACACCGCACGGCACACCCAAACTGGAGCCCGGTGGCGATCCGGTCTGCGCTGATGACGACGGCGTAACCGTCGACAACCGCGGCAAAACAATGACGGTCGAGACTCGAGAGCACCGGAAACTCATCAACCGTGATGGATTTTGGCTCCGGCCACGTTCATCCCCAGAAAGCGATGAATCCCCGGCTGGTCTACAACATATCCTCGTACGACTACGTCGATTTCCTCTGCAACTCCAACTACACCACCAACAACATCCACGTCGTCACCAGAAAATACGTCGATTGCCGCGACACCAAACGCGCCGGCCACGTCGGAAACCTAAACTACCCTTCATTCTCGGCCGTTTTCCAACAATACAACAAGCACAAACTCTCCACCCAAGAAGTGAAATTACAAATCTGTCTTCAGTTTTAAGTCTTAAAAATGAGACTTTGACTTTAGGACAATTTCGGGTAAAAAATGCATAGTTGGGGACTAAATTGAAGAATTTTGGCAATCGTTATATCGTGCACCAGGGTGTACAATGCATTGTGTGTCCCGCCATGTCCAAAACGACGTCGTTTTGTTACGTTTATGTGTATTCTGTTATGCAATATGTACATTCTGTTATAATATTTGATACAATAAAAAAAATTAATACATAATAATACTGACACTCAAAACAATTAATATACACATACCTAGAAGGGCGGGGCCATAAATTATGATCAATGGGGGCGAAAAATAAAAGAAAAGACTTCAAAATGTGGCTAGCAGCAAGATTTGATCTCTAAATCTTTTATAATAAAAACTCACTATTGACTAATTAAGCTACCTCAACTTTTAATAACTTTTATATGTAATATAATAAATTATGCATGTATCTATATTAAATCATATACTATATACTATACACACACATAATGGGGGTGGGGGAGGGAGGCAACTGCCCCATTGCCCGGATTTTCCCTTGCACATATCTGCAAAGCACATGAATAATGTTATTATGTATTCTAATGTCTTTGGCAATAAAAACTAATTTCTTATATAAGTGAAAATTTCATGTGTAACTGTTGGAAAACTTTTTTGTATTAACGTAAATGAATATGAGAAAGAAATTTATGATAGCTACAAATATGAATATGAGAAAGAGTTACTTCTTGTGTAGGTGCAAATTTGTAATGTGTAGCTTTTGAAAAGCTGTTTTGAATGAATATGATAAAGAAATGTATAACGGGCATGAATATGAAGAGAATATGAATAAGAATTCGACAAAGGGTTACTTTTTCTATAAGTGCAAATTTTATACGAGTAAGTTTTGAATAATGTTTGTATGATTGAAATATGAATATGATAAAGATTATAATTATTATTTTTTTTAGGCTTAATAAATGCAATGAGAAAAGAGGAAAACTTTGGGGCTAGAGAATATTCTAAGGATGTAATTTCAATTTACTTTTATATATTCTTTGAAATTATATATCTACTTCACAAGTTTTATTTGATTAAAGTACCTATGAAGTCCATGTACTATAGTGTTTTATTCAATTTAGTCCTTATACCTTTATTCTGTTCAATTTAGTCCCTCTACTTTAAAAAGTGGTGAAACTAAGGACAGTTTTCCAAATCTCATTAGGAATATGGTTGTAATTATTTATTTTGGACTTATTAATTTAATATATTGGTGGTAAAAATAATTAATTTTAAATATTTATAAAGTAATATATGAGTAGGAATATAAATATTGTCACCGCTAAGTAACCTAAGTTAACGATAATATTAACACTGTTAACTATTGTCCTCAATTGCACCACTTTTGAAAGTGTAGTGATTAAATTGAACAAAATAAAGGTATAAGGACTAAATTGAACAAAACGTTATAGGCTCTGTTTGGCAAACCTAGCTGAAAAGCTATAAGCTCGGAGCTGAAAACTGAAGAGCTATTAAGCTAGCTGTTATGATTGAAAGTGTTTGGTAAAATTAGCTTTTTGATAAGCTGATAAATGTAAAGACTAAAAAGGGCATCTTCATAAAATTTAAATTAGTTTGTTTACATATTAAAATTCAACATTTTGTCTTTAAAAAAATTAACATTTTAAAATAAAACTATTACGGTAATCATGATCTAACATCTCATAATGAAGTAGCAATATTGTTGCAAATCTAATAATAATCATAATAATAATAATAATAATAATAATAATAATAATAATAGTAATAATAGTAATAATAATAATAATAGTAATAATAGTAATAATAGTAATAATAGTAATAATAGTAATAATAGTAATAGTAATAATAGTAATAATAACAATAACAATAACAATAACAATAACAATAACAATAACAATAACAATAACAATAACAATAACAATAATAATAATAATAATAATAATAATAATAATAATAATAATAATAATAATAATAATAATAATATATGCAGTGAAAGTTGCGGATGAAGGAGAAGAGAAAATGGTTTTAATTGTGAAGGGTAAATTATGGAAAAAAAAAAGTTAGGAAGCTAGGAGCTTATTTTGAAAAGCTACCTAAGGTAGTGTTCCAAAATAAGCTCTATTTTAAGCTAGGAGCTTATTTTGGAAACATTACCAAACAGAACTTATAGCTTATTAGTAGCTTAAAATAAGCTATAAGCTCCTAAATAAGTTCTTCCAAACAGAGTCATAGTATAGGGATCTCGAAGGTACTTTGACCGTTTTATTTTTGCACATTTAACTTTGTGTTTTAAAAGTTATTTCACATTTAATTTAATATATTCAAATGCATTTATTTTGTAATCATTTCATGAACTCTTTTTTTTTTTTTCTTTTAACTCTAAATTAAAATTAAAATTTACATTACAGTTTTAACATAGTTGTCATGGGTAGGATGACAATGGGTCGGGTGTGAGTCGGGGAGAGCTACATCCATTAGATCACCCGACCAAACATATATTTTCTCCACCCACCCCCAGCCCCACCGGGTGCGGGTTCCCATTACGGGTACCCACCACTTATCATCTTATTATTTTTTTAAATAAATAATTATTAAATTACTTACACATAATAAAATAATAAAATTAATTAGTGATAATAAAACATAAAATAATAGAAATACTTAAATATATACTTAAATATAATAACTAAATTGTTAATTTTTAAAAATAAACTTAGTAGTTTAGATATAAAAATAGTAAAAAGATACACGAAGTTATAAAAACGGTTGTATGTGTTTTTCGTTCTTGTTGAGTTATAGCCGAGTGGGTGGGATGACACTGCTTTGAGACTTACGAGGGATCCAGACAGTTGCTTTATCAATCAAGATTTGAAGATGCTTAAGACAATAAAGATTGAGTCCTTTAGTGGATCCATGGTAGAAATGCATTTTGTGAAAGCATTGCTCTCAAAATCCCCTACACTAGAGAAAATTGTTATCCAGGAATCTGCTGATATTGATGCTACTATGGCATTCAAAATTCCAAGAGAGTTGTTGAGCTTTCCTCGTATATCTTCGAAAGCACAACTTGTATTCATGGAGTGCAAGCCTACTTATAGCCTGGTTGCACCTCCATGGACCAAAAAAATGTGATCAATAATGGTTGTGCTAAGCTAAGTGACAATTTTTTGTAAGGCAAGGATGGAATTTTGTTTCCTAGGGTGGTCAATAAGTATTACTAACTCCTTCCCTCTTATGAGTCTTAGCTTAGTTTTACCTTTTATGGCCTGTTTGTTTCACGGAATAGGCCGAGAATGACATAGCATTCCCAGTAATAGGCCTATTCCTTTATTTGGTAACTATTTCTATTACCCGGAATAATATTCCTGGTAATAGCCTATTACCTCAAATAAGGTAATAGCTATTACTAGGGTCCCCCCTGGTATTAGCCTATTACTGAACGCTCAGGAATAGATTTTAGAATCTATTTTCTTTTTTACCATTTTCTTTAACCTAATTTTTTTATCCTATATATAAATTTATCCTATTTCACCACCGTCGTCACCACCACAACCATCACCGCCGCCACCACCATCGCCACAACCGTTGTCGCCCCCACCACCACCGCCGCCCCCACCACTGCCACCGCCACCACCACCACTACCACCCCAGCACCACCACTGCCACCACTACCATCACCACCATCGCCTCCGCAGCCGCCACCACCACCACCGCCACCAGAACCACCACCCAGCAGCACCACCGCCACCACAACCGTCGCCGCCCCCACCACCACTGCCACAACCGTCACCGTCAACCGTCACCGTCACCACCACCACCGTCGCCCCCACCACTGCCACCGCCACCACCACCACTACCACCCCAGCACCACCACCACCACCATATCCACCATCACATATTTTTATAAGGGTATTTATGTCTTTTAAAACATATTTCATTTATATTCCTTAAATCAACCAAACACTGTAATATAATTCCTAAAGTCTATTCCTTCCACGAACCAAACAATAAAATACAATTCCTATTCTATTCATTGCATATTTCATTCCTTATGGAATAGCATTCCTATTACCTCAAAATTCATTCCGTGAACCAAACGTGCTGTTAAAGTATGAATATTAGTTTAAATGTATTGAATTGAGTTTTTGGAGTGTAATGCAACTCGTGACTTTGTGCGATACTTTGTAGTTCTAATACATGATACTATCTTTAAAAGAATTTGTATGTTGAATAGATTGTAGATGACAATTGCTATACTAAAATCACATTCTTATTCATTCTACACACGTAACATTGAATCTTATTGGGATTCTCATGTTATAATATGGAGCTCATAAATACTTAATAGGTGTGAATGATATGATATGGGCCGGTTCATGGGTTAGTTTAATTTGAGCCACTCATGAGAGAATGTTTTGCAATCCTTGATGTCGACCATTATAAAAGACAAAATTATAAAAGACAAAATTATAAGATTTAATGAAAAATCATCCTCAATTCTTGCATCCTTAACAAAGTTAGCCACTGTCGTGGCTCCTTCTAAACCAATGGTAAAAAAAAAAAAAAAAAAAAAAAAATGACGTCGTTTTGCTTAATTTTATTTTTTTTCGTGCGCCCAACTGCAACATACATTTTTATAACTCATAATGTACATTATTCTAAAGCATAATATACATTATTTTAAAATATAATATACATTATGTTACATCAGATGTTTCATTATTCTAAACATGTAATGTACATTATTTTAACACATAATGTACATTATTCTAACACGTAATGTACATTATTCTAACGCATAATGTACGTTATTCTAACACATAATGTACATTATTCTAAAACATAATGTACATTATTTTTACTCATAATATTCACGACGATGTTTTGGACCGTGGTCCACACAACTGTAGCTATTTGTTAGATTGCCCTAGCTTATTTTATAAAAAATAAAATTAATTTTATGTGTTGAATAAACTACCAATTAGTATTGTAAAGAAATATCTAACACAATTTTTTTTTTGTTTACATTAACAACTGATTTTATTTTTGTCTTTTCCTATTTTATATTACTAAGCGCATCTGAATGCCTCTTTCTATTTTAGGGTGTGTTTGGAAACCTGGAAAATGAGTTCTGGAAATCATTTTCCAAGTTTCCAGTGTTTGGATGTGCCTGGAAAATCAAGTCAACGGAAATCATTTTCCGTTGACTTTGGAAAATAGGCTTGTTTTGGAGGAAAATGACTTCCCCTTTTTTTGGGGGGAAGTCATTTTCCAACTTTTACACCAACATCACACCACCACCAACATCATCAACACCATACCACCATCACCACCACTATTGCCGCCGCCACCACCACTATACCCCCGCCACCATCACACCACCACCACAACCACCACAAACACCGCAACCACCACCACCACCACCATACCACCGCCACCATCGCCGCCGCCACCACCACCACACCATCGCTGCCGCCACCACCACCACCACCACCATACCACCGCAACCACCGTCGCCGCCACCACTACCACCATACCACCGCTGCCGCCATCACCACCATACCACCGCAACCACCGCCACCATACCACCGCAACCACCGTCGCCGCCACCACCACCATACCACTACAACCACTGTCGCCGCTACCACCGCCACCACCACCATACCACCACAACCACCATCGCCGCCACCACTACCACCATACCACCGCCACCGCCATCACCACCATACCACCGCCACCACCACCACACCACCGCCATCACACCGCCACCGCCGTCGCCGCCACCACCATCATACCACCGCCGCCGCCACCACCACCACCATACCACCGCAACCACTGTCGCAGCCACCACCACCACCACCATCGCAACCACACGACCACTGCCACCACCGTCATACTACCACCACCATCACACCAACACCACTACCGTCGTCGCCGCCACCACCAGCATACTACCGCAACCACCGTCGCCGCTGCCACCATCATACCACCGCAACCACCGCCACCACCATCACACCGCCGCCGCGCCACCTCCACGACCATACCACCGCAACCACCACCGTCGCCACCACCACCATACCACCGCCACCACACCACCACCGTCATACCACCACCAATTATTATTATTATTATTATTATTATTATTATTATTATTATTATTATTATTATTATTATTATTATTATTGTTATTATTATTGTTATTATTATTATTATATAACGAATAACACCACTACCACTACACCACCACCACCACCATAATATTTTTGATATGTTATTAGTTTTTTTTTTTTTTTTTTGAAAAACATAGCTATTTTTTATTATATTTAAAATTAATATTATATTATTATATATTATTATACATGTTGTAATATTTTAAATAAAATAATTAAAATGTTTAATTATACAATTCTACTCATTTTCCAGAAAATGAACCAAACACAGAAAAACAGTTTTCCATAATGCAACCAAACACTGGAAAGGAAAATGTTTTCCAGAAAATGACTCATTTTCCAGAAAACATTTTCCAGAAGTCATTTTCCTGCTTTCCAAACGGACCCTTATATTTTAATATTTCAGTAGAATAAGAATATTACTTATTTCTTACACCTATATACTAAGACTAATGAGTAGCCTTATGATAGAGAACTATTTGGTAAATATTGTCCTGCATAAGGACATGTTTGGTAAATGGCGAATCCACCACCGAAATTGTTGTTTGGTAAAATGGCAATTTGGAGCAGCGATTTGCTCCAAACCACCAATATTGCAAATGTTGCAAAATGCAGCGTTTTGGGGAAAGAGTTTCTTTCCCAAAAACGCCCTTAACATATTAAAAAAAAAAAACAAAAAAAAAACTATAGGCTCCTTAATTAAGAAGCATGCACATCCGTTTGCCCAATGGATGGGCAAATCAATTAAAACATAGAGCCTTGAGGCTCCTTTTATAGGAGCTTCAAGGGTCCATTCCCCACTTCTCCCATCGATGTGGGATAAGTGGGGAAACAAAGGGGAGTCGCACCGGTTCCCTTTTATTTTTATGTTTTTTTTTTTTTTTAAATTTTCTCACCACCACCACCACCACCACCACTATTATTATTATTATTATTATTATTATTATTATTATTATTATTATTATACCCTTTAGGTTATTTTACATGTTAACCGCTAATCTAAATCGCTAATTTTACTAAACATCTTTTTACAAACCGCTAACACAATCTGCTAGTCAAATTCGCTAACACTATCTGCTAGTCAAACTCGCTAACACAATCTGCTAGTCAAACTCGCTAACACAATCCGCTATTTGCTAAAAGCTAACACAATCCGCTACCGCTAACCGCTGATTGCCAAACAAGGCCTTAAATCTTAAACTACAATGATTAAATTGAACAAATTTAAATTTTAGGTACAAGAACTAAATTGAAAATATATATATAGTACAAGGACCTAACATGTACTTTCACCCGCGCATACACACATAATGTTGTGACATTTTTATAAATAAAATGATAGTTATTCATAAAAATATAATCCGAGTAGGCGGGTCGAGGTCCTACGAGGTACCCACTACTCGGAATACCCTCCCAAATTATCTTACTTTATATATTAGTTTTTTTTTACATTATAAAATTTTACTATGTTTATAAACTAAAAGTTCATATTTCAAGTCTAGTAGGAGTAAAAATTTTGCACTCGATATTCACTTTAAAGTTAAAATATACAATAGTGTATAATATTTTCTCTAAAATTCACTAAAAATATAAGATTGGATCTTGACTTCCGATCTCAATTTCAAAAAAAAAAAAAAAAAGGAAAAAAAAAAAGCTGACTCTTAAATCTTAATTATGAGTTCTAACGTGCATAATGTAAAAGTGAGTAAAAGTTGAAAGTATAAAATGAGAATCTACCAAATATTTTTTAATTAATTATGCTTAGCTGCCTACATGCGGTAGGGACCACATCGAGGGTCCCGCATTTTTGGAACAGTAGTATCCAAACTTCGACACAGACCGGCTATGGACCAATGAAGATGGTTGAGGAAGACAAGTGGGTCCCACAACATCAGTAACTAATCTACCACTCCGAATTAAACTTGGATTTGGCAAAACTAGAAACCATTTTTAAAGATTTTAGAAGAATAAAATTCGATGTGTTAAAATTTTTTATTAAAATGTTCACGTGATATATTTTAATTGATCAATTATTGAATAATTTTTATTAGTTTATGTAATTAAGAAATTATGACTATCTGACTCTCTCACATAGGAAGTCAGATAGTCAGTAGTTCTAATTTCTATTTTTTTTTGTTTAAATTCACTCTTTCCATTATAATATTATTAACTAATATTATTAACCAATATTGAAAAATATCTATTGAACTTCTTTTTGTTATAATATTGTTAACTGACATTGAAAAATGAAAATGAAAATTAAAATATCAAAATCTATTCAACTTCTTTCATTTTTGTTTTCCAATCAATAGTACTATATCTTTTTATTATTTATTTATTTATTCACTTCTTTTTTGCTTTTTTTTTTTTTACCATTTTTAAATATTTCTTTGATACTATTATTTTTATAAGATAGTGTATTTTAATGTGATATTAGTTTACTAATATTTACTTATTTAATTGATAATAAATTTACTTCCTTGAAAGAAAAAAATTAATTATATTTTAATATTAGATACAACTCACAATGTAGTGCACATAAAAATAAGTAGTACCAAAAGAAAGGGGTCATTGACTCTACTTTATTTTAATTTGCAGCACGCATAGGTAAGGGGTTTAAAAATAATCAGATTATTAACTACTAATATGATAAACACAATTATTATCAATTGTCTCCTTGCAAGGTTGTCCTCGTATAAATGATAAGAATTTTCTATGATAGCACTCTTTGTTGTTTTTATTTGAATTTTTTTGTTTATTTTTTTTATTTAAAAAAACTCGAATAAAAAAAATGCTAAGCACCATTGCAATTATGTTGTGGTAAAATGTTAGGCACTAGTTTTTTTTTTTTTTTTTTTTTTTTAATCTTATGTAGTAAGGAGTGTTGAGTGTTAAAAATATAGGTGTGTAGCTTGATCCTAAACATAAATAATATTCTATCATGAAGGTTCAAAACCTTCCTATCAAGTGACGCTAACTTATGATTTTAAGTTAAGATGATCCTAGCCGCATATGCAATTCAACTAAACTCGATGTAGTCTAATAAATCGCTGAGTCATCCACTATCCTGTCAGATTAGCGTGTAGGATCATGGGAGTGATGAAATTTATCCTTTGTGGACAAGTTCAAATGATCATCAACTCTTTAAATTATAATTCTGTCAAGCGGAAGTGTAGGGTCCTAGGGGCATTAGGAATTTTGCTGGCAAATTATGCTGTGGAACCATGTCCACCTTGCAAGGTGGGTACGGTTCCAAAACAGCGTCGTTTTGGTGGAAAACGACGTCGTGTCAATTAAAAAAAAATTGCTTTCTTTTGCCGTTAACGACGTTTGTCTTCAAATACGGCAGTTTCCTTCCCACACTCTATGTTCAAAATTATAGAAGTCTATGTTCATAATTACTGAACTCTATGTTCATAATTATAGAATTCTATGTTCATAATTTTTGAACTCCATATTCACAATTATTGAATTCTATATTCACAATTACAGAACTATACTATGTTCATAATTTTTAAACTCTAGAAGTCTATGTTTATAATTACTGAACTCTATGTTCATAATTTTTGAACTCCATATTCATAATTATTGAACTACATATTCACAATTACATAACTCTATGTTCATAATTATAGAACTCTATGTTCATAATTTTTAAACCCTATATTCATAATTCTTGAACTCTATATTCACAACTGCAGAACTCTATATTAACAATTACGTAATAGTATATTCACAAATTTTTATGTCGCTGAATTCTTTTGACAATTTTTTTTTAAAATCTGATTGATGGAGGGAAAACGGTGCCACTAACGGTACCGTTACTCCCGAATTGCAGAACGACGTCGTAGTGGACACGAGTCCATGGCATAACATTGAATTTTGCCTTTTGTGGGCAAGTTCAAATGATTCTCAATCCCTTAAATTATAGTAATTGTTGGGCTTTTTTTAAGGAGTTGATTGGCACAAGGGTGTGAGACCCTAGGGTGAGAGAATTTTGCCTTTTGTGGGCAAGTTTAGATGATTCTCATCCCCTTAAAGAGTTGATTGGCACATATACCTTTTGTACCAGGTATAATTAAACATGATATATTTTATTGCACTAGTTATACCTTTTGCCTCTTCTACTAGGGTTCGATCCTGTGACCACCATTTGAAATGGTAACAGATGTGGCACCAAGTTGCTCTCCTTAATGGAGGTGGTATTGACTCTTTGTGCTTTAGTACAAGTATAAAAACACATACTGGTCTGTTTGGTAAATGACTATTAGCTGATTGTGTTAATTAGAGGGTATAACTAGTTGATAACATTAGCTGATTGTAGAAAGGTGTTTGGTAAATTAGTTGTTAGCTGATAGCGGTTTGATATAATTTCTTTTATCAAAAAAGCTAATTGAAAAAATTGTTTTGAACAACTTTTTAAATTAACGTTTTGGACTTACAAAAGGCTAATTAACCAAACACTTATATTAATTGTTTTCTAAAAGTTAAATAATTAATAGTGATCAAATAAGCTAATTATTTTACCAAACCGGACCACTATTTTCTTAAAATTTATGAGTGTTTAAACAAAAATTAAAAAGTAATAATTTGGTATCCACCATTGGCATTAGCATTAGCATTACCATCCCAGCTAGGCCTCCCTTCTGTGCTCCAGTTATTAATATGGCTCTTTGGTTTTTGTCTCTATTCTCTTTGGTTTTTCCGATTACGAGATTTTAATGTTCATACTCGAATTTCAGATTCATTCCTTGAAGCTCTTGCTCATCTTTTCTCTAAACATTATTTTCTTTTCATTCTCTCTATCTTTTTGTTGCTTTATCATTTGTAGCAGCTCACATCAATGGAAATTAAATAAAGCAGGAAAGCAGAAGAAGGCTTTCCCACTTTTCTCTTTACAGAAACCCCAAGCCCAAGCTTCCCGAAATTCTGAGCACTATCGGTTACATTTAAATATACAAGCAATCTGTATCTGAAGATTTGAAGGGTAAAACGTTTGTTGTTCTCACAGGGATCGGAGAAAGAATCAGTTCCTCATTCCAGCTCTCCTCTGTTACCAATTCTGTAAAAACTTTTGTTTTCTGGGAAAGTTTAGGTTTGGTTGGGGGATCTTACCAGAGATTGTGAGATTGTTTTGTCTGGTGTGGGTTTCAATTTGTTAATTGCAAAGTTTTGTGAGCTGAATTTTGTGTGATTTTGAAAAGGTGAGTCTTTTTCAGATTCCTCAAGGGTGGGGGGGTGGCTATAGTAAGATAGAGTATTCTGATTCCTTTAACCAAATGGGCTCTTGATTTAACACTGATATTGCCATTGTTAAACCTCCACCTCTCCACATTTCCTCTGCTTCTTCTCAACATATTCTTATCGATGAAAAATCTCAAATTCTTCATCTTCTTCAACTCCTGAGAATATAATTTTCCTGGCGTAAGTGGGGGAGATGGAGATTTTATTGCCGGCGGCGTCTTCTTATCTATCCAATTCCGGGTGGTTGTTTGAAGAAACGATGAGCTTCACCAAATGGACCCCTGCGGAGAACAAGGCATTCGAGAATGCTCTTGCTCTCTACGACAAGGACACGCCGGACCGGTGGAAGAAGGTGGCGGAAATGGTTCCCGGGAAGACGGTGTCGGATGTGATGAGGCAATACAAAGAATTGGAAGATGATATTAGTAGCATAGAGGCTGGGCTTATGGATTTGATTCCTTTTCCGGCGAATACCACTAGGTCTGCTTCTGTTTCTGCTTCGGCTTTTACATTGGAATGGGGATGTAGCCATCCTTTTGATGCTCAAAAGCAATGTTTCGCGGCCGGAGGGAAGCGACCCCCGGCGAATCGGCTGCCGGAGCAAGAACGGAAAAAGGGTATTCCCTGGACTGAGGAAGAACACAAGTGAGTAACGAATGAATCCATTGCTTTCTTCTTTTTTTCTGAATAAGCTCACAAGGTGTTTGATAATTTGCTCAAACAAACAAACAGGTTGTTTCTGATGGGCTTAAAGAAGTATGGAAAAGGTGACTGGAGAAACATTTCTCGCAATTTTGTGATCACCAGAACCCCAACCCAAGTCGCTAGCCATGCCCAGAAGTTCTTCATTCGCCAGCATTCCGGTGGAAAAGACAAGAGGAGAGCCAGCATTCATGACATAACCACCGTGAACCTCAACGAGAACCAGACGCCTTCCCCCGACACTAAGAATCCTCCCGGTTCAACAGACCAGCCCGTCGTGGTCTCCAGGCACCAAAAAATGCCCTTTCACTGGGATCACCTCGGGCTTAATTCAGCTCAGGCCAATTTGTTCATGTCCCCTCCTTATGGACTAGATTCTTCATATGGGATGAATAAAATGCAAAGCCTGGGCATTCAAAGAGCTGCTGCTATGCATCATGAGTCTTCTTACTTTGGATCTCAGATTATGCCCTTTCAGATTCAATCCGCTGCGCCTCAGTATTATCATGCTTGAGATTTGCATTCTAGAAAACCGGGAATAGCAAACACAAATACCGCTTCGTTTCAATTTACTAATCTAGCTAGCTCTGTTTCTGCTCTTCGATTCTCCTGTGAATATGGTTTTTGACTTTTTGGCCTTTTGATTTAGTCTTTCACTAAAGTTTATGTTCCTAGGGAGTCCATAATTCTGGAAATGGTTTGTCAAGAAAGCTTCAGTTATGATTGGAACAATGTAATTCCAGGCTCACTTTCTATAGAGTTGAGATTCAAGATTTTCAGGGGCAATCATCAATCTTGGCTAGACCCAAATCTGATAAGAAATGGGAGAGTCTTATGATGTCTGAAATCTTGCCAATTGTGCTTAAATTTACACACAGATTCTTCTGTTATATATATCTACTTGGGTGTTTACAACATTTTGCAAAGCTTTCTACTGATTCATCTACCTAAAGATGCTACCAAGTACTTGGAGCATTGTGTTTATTACCTTTGTTGATTATGATTAGCCAACAAAGTATATATTAATATTGACAGAATACTGTCATCTATACTATTATAGTTTGAGTTTGGCCCGGGACATAGCTCAATGGTCGAAAAGTTGAGTGTCGGTATAATGACCTAACAAATATGCGGGTTTGAATCCTACAAAAAAGACACTCAGACCCTGCGTCATTGATTTACATCTTCTCATCCATCGTGGGCAGGGCGTTGAACTTTCCAGAGTTTTAACTGTCTGTATACCAATTGCTCCAAACTGATAGGTTATTTCTATCCCTCGATCAACCCCACAAAAAAAAAAAAAAAAAAAAAAAAAAAAGTTGAAAGCCCTGCTATTAAATGGTTCCACATGGTGTTAGGTCTGCCTTACATTAGAATTTACCGACAAAAACCGAGTCTAGTTGACTCTGCTTGAATTATTTTTAGTCGAAGCTGAGTCTGATTTCCACTATGAAGCAATAAGCATCCTATTCTTGAATCCCTGGGGCAAAAACCAGTCACCCTTTCCTCTTCTTTGTTAATATACACAAAATCTCCTTATAAGAGCCTTGATTAATGATTATACAAATATGATTTTAAGAGAAAAAAACTGAGATTCTGTCAAGATTTTGTACGCTAATTAATGGGTAATTGTCTTCTTTTTTTTTTTTTTTTTTTTTTTTTTTAACAGATACTACATTGTAATAGAGTTAATAGCATTTAAGAAAAAAAAAAAAAAAAACCTATTGTTCTAGACTAGTGGAGTTAATTACCAAAATGGTCCCTCAACTATAGCGAAATTACGAATTTGGTCCTTGACTATTTTTTTTAACCAATTAAGTCCCTCAATTTTAAAATTTTTAACCAATTTGGTCCTCCGTTAGTTTGACCGTTAGTCAACCGTTAACTTGGGACCAAATTGGTAATTTCGCTATAGTCAAGGGGACCATTTTGGTAATTAACTTTAGGGGTGGGCAATTCGGTTTAGTTTTCTCGAACCAAACCGAGCTAGTTTGGTTCAGTAATATACCGAACAACCGAACGGTATTGGATTCTTGTATACCGAACGATTCGATAAAAAATCGATCCGAATTGTTCGGTAAAAAATTGAACTGAACCGAATACCGTTTGATTTTTTTTTAAATAATAATAATAATAATAATAATAATAATATAATAATAATAATAAATAAATAAATAAACAAATAAATAAATAAAAAGTAAATCCAAGTCCCTTGCTGCTTGCTCTGCCGTTCAGCTCATATTTTCACGGGTATCTCTCGTAAATGTTTTATTTGATTTCTTTATGGTTTGTTATCAAAAGTTCTATATTATGTGATATGGTGTTTACATAGTCCATATCCAAAGTCTAATGTATAACAAAATAGCAATTCAAAGTTCAAACAGTATTCAGTTCGGTTCGATTTTTACCGAACAATTTAGTTCGGTTCGAGTTTTTACCAAACCGTTTGTTATACAAGAATTTATTACCGTTCGGTTATTCGGTATATTACCGAATCTAACTAGTTTGGTACGGTTCGATTCGAGAAAATTGAACCGAATTGCCAACCCTTAAAGTTAATTACCAAAATGGTCTCTTGACTATAGCGAATTACCAATTTGGTCCCAAGTTAACGGTTGACTAACGGTCAAACAAACGGAGGACCAAATTGGTTAAGATTTTTAAAGTTGAGGAACTTAATTGGTCAAACAAAATAGTCAAGGACCAAATTAGTAATTTCACAATAGTCAAGGGACTATTTCGGTAATTAACTCAGACTAGTGTATTTCTTTTGTTTCTTGGCAATCATCAACAGTTGTGACATCTGCTTTTAGACTCCCATAGTCACAAATAAAATGCTTCCCCCAAACCCAAATTTGGTGTGACTTGTTGCACGTGTGCTGGCTAAACTATTTTCTTTTTTTATTTTAGTGATTACTGATTAGTCTAACAAAACATGTTTTGCTTTGTGATTTTAAGATACCGTACTAAAACCAACTTTAATGAAAAGAATGAAAGCAACCTTAAAGTTTACACTATTAATTTAAAATGGTGCTTGAGCTCTATTGCCCTCTCCGTGGATACAAGTGGCACACTTTTTATTCCAACAAGGAGTAGCACTTGTTTGTGGCAATACTTTAATATCTTCCCCTATGGTGGGGAAATTTCAATCATCTATTAAGTATTGTCTATAAAGTAGAGATTTATGTGGTTTAGCATATTAAACCAAAAAAAAAAAAAAATGTGGTTTAGCATACTTTTCTTGAACTAATAACAAGAATTATAAAAGATTACAAACAAAAAAAAAAAAATTTAAAGGAAGAATGTTGTGTCAAAAATTATATCGTGGAACGTAATCGGGATTCACCATACGCATTGTGGACTCTAATTCAAATTATGTATATGTAATTAACGCATTATGCAATTTCAGTTAACAAATTATGTATAGTTATACAATTTTTTTAAAAGTTCATATAAGTTTTTTTTTGCACTTTGGTCCTACGACTATAGTGGCACTATCATAATTGATCCACGACTTTCAAACCTTGCAATTTTAGTCCACGACTATTGTTTTTTTGGCAAAAATGATCCTTCCGGCCACTTTTTCATCAAAATTTCACCAGAATAAAATTTCTTAATAAGCTTGCAAGACCTACCACTCATTTGATTCGCATGCACTAGGGAATTGGGGATTTTATTCTGTTTGTGTTTTCGCACTAGTGAATCAGAGGAGCGGTAGGTCTTGCAAGCTTATTAAGCGAAATGTCAAATTTAGCCCTCTTAAAAATGAAGAAATTTTCCTCCGGTGGAATTTTGATCAAAAAGTGGTCGGAATGACCATTTTTACCAAAAAAATAATAGTCGTGGACTAAAATTGCAAGGTTTGAAATTCGTAAATCAATTCTGATAGTGCCACTATAGTCGTGGGACCAAAAGTGCAAAAAATTCAAGTTCATAATATTTGAATTGTAGATAAATAATAAACATAAGGTATATAATATATTTCTTTTCGATCAGGGTCCACAATACATATGTTGAACTCTAATTTAAGATACAAGTATTGATGTTGTGTCATGCAAAGAAGGAGTCCAACAAGTCCTAACACATTATAAAGTCTACATAAAAAATTACTTCAACCTACATGGTCATACAAGAATTAAGAACATTGGCTCATCGCAAAGGATGACCAAACTGCCTGCAATATTCTCCAAAGAAATCCCATTAATACAGTGCTGACACCCATGATGTCTTTAATTTGGTGATCAAACAAATTACTTTTCAAGTGTATCATCGTTACTTCTAAAACCTACTTCACTAAATCACATAAAAGAATATATCATAGCTAGCGGCCTAGCTAGCATGAAAATATTTACATATAAAAAAAAAGAGTGAATTCCATTTTTGGTCCTACTGTTATAGGAGCGTTCCCAATTTCAGTCCACTTTAATTTTTTTTGCCACTTTACAACCACTGTTATTGAATGTGTTCCACTTTTAGTCCACCGTTAATATTTCCGTCAAAAGGCCGTATAATCAAAGGGTATTTTGGTCTTTTTATGTTTGTCTCTTCTCTTTTAATCCAGACGCTTCGTCCTCCTCCTCCGATATTTGAAGATGGCTCTTCGAATAACGAGAATGGGAAGCCAAAACTACATCGTTTCGTTCGTTCCAACATGGGCCGGCGATGTTTCTTAGGTTTTAGGTTTAATGTTCTCATTTCTTTAGTCAAACATAGTCTTGGATGAGAAGAAAGGTCAAAATACCCCTGGATCACACGGCCTCTTGATAGAAATACTAACGGTGGGATTAAAAGTGAAACACATTCAATAATAGTGGTTATAAAGTGACAAAAAAATTAAAGTAGACTAAAATTGGAAACGCCCCTATAAAAGTAGGACCAAAAATGAAATTCACTCTAAAAAAAACATAACGTAACTTTCACATAAGAAGGCAAGTCATTCAACACCAATTACATCTCTATTTTTCTTACAAACTATCTGTATACGTGAATCCTACTAAAAATTAGACCGACTTCTGCTCTTTATGAATGCCTTCATGCATATACATGGCTTTATAATTAATATCAAAATAAATAGTGGAGTTTGGTTTACTGAATTAAAAAAGACTTACGCTTCTTTATTTTTCACGTTTCTAGCTACATTAAGATTCTTGTTTAATTATTCTTTTTTTATCTTCTTTTTATTTATTTATTTATTTTTATTGTTAGTTTGTTCTGGCTTAGATTATCATTATTAACACCAGTTTGTAATCTTCAATAATGACCATAGTACAAGAAGTTCGTAAGAGTTTATTAAGACGATGATGAGAATATATTGATAATTGCAACTTCATTAAAAATGTTTTTAAACCTCAGCTCAATGTTTAAAGAAATTAAAAGAATGTAAAATCGACGAGTTTGGCCAATATTACTAAGGGGTCGTTTGGTTCACGGAATCTTTGATTACCCCAGGTAATCCTATTACCTGGGTGTAAGTAATGTGAGATTTTGGGAATGTAAGATTACCTGATGTGTTTGGTTAAAGTTGCAGGAATGTAACATTAACTTGTTTGGTTGAAGGGTATATTTTAGGGTATATTACATCAATTACTTAAATGCCCTCATATATATTGAAAGGTGTAAATTGCAAGTCTTTTTTTTTTTCATAATTCAAAATTTAACAAGATAATAATAATAATAATAATAATAATAATAATAATAATAATAATAATAATAATAATAATAATAATAATAATAATAATAATAATAATGGAATGCTATTGGAAAGATGCAATTCAATAATTATGAATAATAATAATAATAATAATAATAATAATAATAATAATAATAATAATAATAATAATAATAAATCTTGTGAATAAAAGAAGAATAAACAAGGGCAATTTTGGAATATTGAAAAGTAATCTCACATTACCTAATA